AGAAAGTTCTGTTTAGTTCACTTGCCCATTTCTTTATTGGTTCATTAATTTTGGGAGAATTTAGTTTTTTAAGTTCCCTATATATTCTGGTTATCACTCTCAAGGACTCTTTTAAAAATATATAATGTGTTCACATATGCCACATGTAATTCCAGCAACTTAGGAGGTGGACATAGGAGGATCGAAAGTTCAAGTCCAGCCCAGACAAAGGTTAGCAAGATTCTATCTCAAAAACAAGTCAGATGTGTTGGTGCACACCTGTGAATCCAACTACTTAAGAGGTAGAGTAGGAGGATCGCAGTCTAAGATCAGTCTGGCAAAGTTACATGAGATCCTTTCTGAAAAACAAACTAAAGGCAAAAGGACTGGGGGCATGGCTCAAGTATTACAGTGCTTGTGTAGCAAATGCAAAGCCTTGAGTTTAATATCCAGTATGGCAAAAAAAATCTATCATCCATCTATCTATCTATCCATCCATTGATATCTATATATAATGAAAATACCATTATCATACCTAAAATTAATAATATTTAACAAATATCATTACATATCCTGTCAGTGTTCAAATTTTCCAGAGTGTCTATTTCTTCAGATTGCACTTGGCTGGCATTTTTCTTAAGTCTCTTTTAATCCAGTTTTCTTCCTTGCAATTTATTTGTTTCTCAAAAACAAAGTCAAACAAAACAAAAAACACCTAGATTTTTAAAAATCCACCCCAGAAAAAATTATATTTTTAGAAATAATGACCACTAAAGAAAATGTGAAATGTCAGAAGTTATAGAAACTTTTGTCCATTAAATATGATCAATAAAGCAAATCTTCTGTAAAATGTAAGGAGAGGAGAACTTATTTCGGTAACAAATTTAGAAAAATAAAAATCCGAGGGAAAACTGTAAATAAATAATATAAAATATAAAATTTATTTGGCATTAAATTAACACAATTTACTCCATAAAATATTTTCATGAAATTAGATCAACACTGGCCTAATTCTGATGAAATTCTTTATACTTAACATGTCCTCAGGACATAATGGTGTTTAAATGGCAGCATTAAAATAGGAGTCAGAATCCCTAATACTTGCCTCTGAGGTATCTTAAGTGAAAATACCCTCGAATGTGGCAGTTAGAGGATAAAGACTAGTGTCACTGACTTGAGAAACAAATCAATTCAGTCAAAATGGAAGCCACAGGAGTATAATAAATCACCCAGAATAAAAGTAAAGTGAAAGAAGAGGGCTTCAGAGTCAGGCATGGTGGCAAACAACTGTAATTCCAGCACTTGGGAATTGAGCCAGAAGGATTGGTGAGTTTGAAGCCAGCCTGGTCTACGTAGTGAGACCCTGTATAAAAGTGTTTAAAAAGAAAGAAAAAAGGGGCTTCAGAATGAACTCAAAAGAATACCATTTGAATGGTATTGCCAACAATGAAGCAATAAAGACAGAAAAGAGTAGTCAACAATGAAGGAAGAATATGTTGTATTCAGTCAGGCTTTCAACTCCAGGGAAGGTAACTGACCAGGGGAAATTCACGAGTGTG